AGCCAGCTGCCCCAGGGCTCCAGGATGTCTGAACTCCTTGTCAAGATTGCAGCAGGAGGGTTTGGGGCCCGCCAGCGCCGCCAGGATGAGCCGAACAGAAGTATAAGGGCAATGACTTGCGTGACAGATGTGGGCTCCACCCCGAAACGCCACTTCATCGTGGCTGGGAGTGTGAGAAAAATTGCGATGCCCTGCCGTGCCGAAGGCCAGCGTCTCTCATCCCCGAGGCGCTGACCCAGCACACTACGGCAAAGTGCGTCTGGCGCAGGGGCCTCATCCCTCGGCAGTGACTGGCGGTATCTCCTCCCGCAGATGACCTTCCGCTGGAGTTCACAGGTGTCAGCGGACTGGAGCAGGGCGTGCTTGGCGCTGGCACTGCGAGCAGGCCAATCGAGACTTCGGGGGCGCTAGTGGTAGTGAGGACTCAGCGGCGCCCCGTCTGCGCAGAGTCGGTGTCGCCATTGCATGCTTCAATCAGTTACTCCCTGAGGTCGAGATCAGGGGATCAATGTCAGGCCCGCTGGGGGGCCCGCGGCAAGTCGCGGCACGAGGTACGTGTATGCCTTAGACCTTGCGATCTGGAACACCGCTCGTTATTAAACGTATGCCAGTGATTGTGATTATGGTGTGGCTGTGTTATAGCGCCGTGCGCACTTGCATTTCGCTGGCAAGATGCTGATATCTGGAATAAAATAGACCAGCTCATGCGTAACAGATGCCACGAAGCTATTGCCATCCTGTGGACGCCATCCCGTATGACTGCCAAGGAATTGGCAGCGGGCAAAGTGGCCAGGCACTTCGTGCTCGGTAGCGTCGTGGCCGACGAGGTCGCTGGATTTGCTGCCAATCTCGCCCGGTAACCCGCGAATATCCGCCATTCTGTGTTGATGATCGAGAGAAAGGCTCACCTCATCAGACTCCGTCTTTTGCGGGCCTCGCTTGATAGCATCCGTGCAGGTGCAGAGCTGGGGATAGAGAGGCAGAGGAGTGAGCCCCAAGTCCACGCGGGCACCCGTGAGACCCCTCCACCTCCTGCCCCCCCCTTTTGCTGCCGCTGTTTCTGCCCTGATGTCCCAGCACCAATTGGCCGAATGTGGTCGGCGCTGCCTCCAGTGCTTTGGCTCCGCTACCCTCGCCACAACCAAAGAATTCGTGAACTCAGCATGCCCGAAATTATTCAATGTCGATGGGGCGATCTATCCGCCGATCCACGGGTCGCGAATTCATATCGCGGGTGGTTGGGCCCATCATTCGCACACCTTAAATGTCCATACCACATTCAAGGTTTGGTTATGTGTGAGGCGATCGCCGATGAGGTTCTGCGATCCCTTCAGTCCCCTTGTTCCCGAAGGACGTCAGCCACAGGCCGAGAATACCTCGACAGGATAGCCAGGGGTTCGCCACCCAAAGTCCTGAGCCGTGCTGAGAAGACAGCAAGGCGTTCGAATCATCTTCGGCCGAAGCCCACGTGAAGCATTGAACCTGCTGCGGAGCGGTGCCCACTCCACACCCCTCCAGCTCCAAGTCGAGGCCATCGGTGTGAGACCGGACCGCGTTCTTGATGCCCACCCTGCTGCCGGCCAGAATGGCCGTCGAATCGACCATAGTTTCTCCTGCTCCCGCCCAGCTGCCGTCGCTCATCCACCTCGCAGCCTGCCTGCGAGCAGGGTGTCTTGCGTGGGCACCAATCGACCAAGCAGAGGTATTTGGAGTCGACGCGTGGCTTCCCCCCCCGGATCCAGCCAGCGAAGGAGGTTCCATGCATTAAGATGGGAGACATCGCGCAGCGCCCCCCTCACAATCTCTCCGTCCTCCTCCCTGGCATGAGGGAAAGGGGTCAGGGCGGACAAAAAAAAACTACCCTGTGACGTACCCAACCCATTTGCATCAATGGAGACAAGGAGTTGGCAGAAACTTGTATGGACAATCAACTTGATGTGTAAGCTACTTGGGAGGCGTCACTGTGTTGGGCCCCGCAAGCAGGCCTCGAAAGTGGCGACAGTTTCACAGGTCGCAGCCCCCCAGGGATGGCGAGGTCTAGTTTGAATCTGCGTGTGGCGTCACTGTGCTGGGCCCCCCAGCAGGCCTCGAAAGTGGCGACTGTTTCACAGATCGCAGCCTCCCAGGGATGGCGAGGTCTAATTTGAATCTGCGTGTGGGTACCCACTGTGCTGAGCCCCCCAGCAGGCCTCGAAAGTGGCGACAGTTTCACAGATTCGCAGCCCCCCAGGGATTCCGAGGTCCAATTTGAGTCTGCGGTGAGTACCCACTGTGCTGGGCCCCCCAGCATGACTCGAAAGTGGCGATAGTTTCACAGATCGCAGCCCCCCAGGGATGGCGAGGACAAATTTGGCTCCGCGGTGGGTACCCAGTGTGCTGTGCCCCTCAGCAGGCCTCGAAAGTGGCGACAGTTTCATAGATCGCAGCCCCCCAGGGATGGCGAGGTCCCATTTGAGTCTGCCGTGAGTACCCACTGTGCTGGGCCCCTCAGCAGCCCTCGAAAGTGGCGACAGTTTCACAGATCGCAGCCCCCCAAGGATGGCGAGGTCTAGTTTGAGTCTGCGGTGAGTACCCACTGTGCTGGGCCCCCCAGCAGGCTTCGAAAGTGGCGTCAGTTTCACAGATCGCAACCCCCCAGGGATGGCGAGGTCCAATTTGAGTCTGCCGTGAGCCCAGTGTGCTGGGCCCCCCCAGCAGGCCTCGAAAGTGGCGACAGTCTCACAGATCGCTGCCCGCCAGGGATGGCGAGGTCCCATCTGAGTCTGCCGTGAGTACCCACTTTGCTGGGCCCCCCAGCAGGCCTCGAAAGCGGCGACAGTCTCAGAGATCGCAGCCCCCCAGGGATGGCGAGGTCCCATTTGAGTCTGCCGTGAGTACCCACCGTGCTGGGCCCCCCAGCAGGCTTCGAAAGTGGCGACAGTTTCACAGATCGCAGCCCCCCAGGGATGGCGAGGTCCAGTTTGAGTCTGCCGTGAGTACCCAGTGTGCTGGGCCCCCCAACAGGCCTCGAAAGTGGCGACAGTTTCACTGATCGCAGCCCCCCAAGGATGGCGAGGTCCCATTTGAGTCTGCCGTGAGTACCCACTGTGCTGGGCCCCCCAGCAGGCTTCGAAAACGGCGACAGTCTCACAGATCGCTGCCCGCCAGGGATGGCGAGGTCCAATTTGAGTCTGCCGTGAGTACCCAGTGTGCTGTGCCCCTCAGCAGGCTTCGAAAACGGCGACAGTCTCACAGATCGCTGCCCGCCAGGGATGGCGAGGTCCCATTTGAGTCTGCCGTGAGTGCCCACCGTGCTGGGCCCCCCAGCAGGCCTCGAAAGTGGCGACAGCTCACAGATCGCAGCCCCCCAGGGATGGCGAGGTCCAATTTGGGTTTGTCGTGAGTACCCACTGTGCTGGGCCCCCCAGCAGGCCTCGAAAACGGCGACAGTTTCACCGATCGCAGCCCCCCAGCTGGCACGCAGCGACGAGCGAGGCAAAAGGCAAGGGGGAAGCCAGGGGCGGGAAAGGGGCGGGAAGGAAGGAAGTAAGGAAGGCGACGCGCGAACAGTGCTCTATTCGAAACGAGAATCCAACGCAGGAGGGGTGTGAAAAACATGCAGACACAATGAATCGTCGACACCCAGGAGGATATAAGAAAATATGGAGAGTGGGGGGCAGACGAAAACCTAGGACATATGATATATATATATATATATATATATATATATATATATATATGGGCATCCTGGGATTTGTGTGTATGTTGTGTGTGTGTCCTCGGGCCCCATTGAAGGGGATCGAGAGGGAAAGGGCCCTAGACCACGGGCCCCACCGTGGACCAGCTTCTCGTATCCCTGAGGCGTCGTTCGACGACACTGGGACCCTGGCGAGGGGCCCTCGGGTTTTATCCCCGAGCGCGTCCCACTACTCGCAAAGTGCCTACTCGCCAACGTCCGAAAAAACAATACGTCTGCCTTTTTTTGTATTGCATCGTACATTCCCCGCGGCGGATCCAGGCCACTTGCGAGTAGCGACGTTGCGAGTAGTGGAACGCGCTTGTCTAGGTGAAGTCGGGCATGTCCCTCCACAGGAGGAGTACGCAAACACTGTCAAGAAAATAGTCGGGGGACGATTTTCTAAAGCTAAGTTTTGACCAGTTGGGAGTACGTTTTGTGTATGTCTTATTCTTCCTCCAAAATCCGCCTGTAGGGGGACACGCCCGGCCTAGCCCTGGGGGGCCGAGGGCGGCGGAACCATCTGGACCGTGCCTCTTCCTTTTGGAGCGCGAGAGGGTCGGCTGGAGGGGCTCTAGTCCTTTCCTCTTGGTCCTCTTCCGGCTGGAGGGATTTTTAGAGTCGGCGGCGAGCGAGGGGGGGGGAGCGAGAGGGAGACGGCCTGCTCGGAGGGCGGCGGGGCTTCTCGGAAGCCCGCCGGCCTTCGGAGAAGCTTTCGGTGCCTTCGAAAAAGGGCTCGGGAAACTTCTCAGATGGCCGGGGGACCCCCCCCAGTCTCGCCGTCGATAGAAGGCAGAGAGGTCTTCGTAGAAGCCCTCGCTTTGCCCCAGGAAGGTTTCGGACCCCCCCACACATGCTGGCGCTTGCGCAAATACTACGGCGACCGCGGCGCGCCCCCACCCCGACGTGCCCAACCCCGCCCAAGCGTTAATGTTACCACCCCCCATCCCAGGGTAATGATGGGTATCGGGAATAAAGAGAATAACATCATCCCTAATGCCAGGCAGCCAGGTGACTGCAAGAATCGGTGAACGAAACATGCAGTTTGTTCCCAGGCCAGAGAGAAAGTCGGCGGTTACGTAAGGTGCGATTATGCAGAGCGTGTGTGTGTGTGTGTGTGTGTGTGTGTGTTGCGTTTGATCGTTCAAAGTTTTTGTCCGCAGGGAGGCGATGCTGAGACGATGTTGGGTGAATGACGCACTGCGTCACAGAGGTATCGAGCGGGCTGGGGAGGGCGGAAGCGGCGTCTTTTGCTCCCGTTGTTGCCGCGCCTGCCCTGCAGCAG